CTGGAATAAAGCTAACAGCGCTGTTTCGGCGTAATGTCATCTTCAGAGCCTAAATATTGTTTAAACATATAATTTAATTAAAGTAAATGCCTAATGTAAAATGTGAAAATATAGAAAATAAAATATGTATTAAATTGTGAAATAAATTAACCTTGTTGTAAATATCATAATAACTAAAGTTTATGTAGATTATATAAATAAAATAATGTAATTTAAATAAAATGTTTAGTAAAATAATTAAAATATAGAAATTTTATAAAAGTTTTAACATGGTTGAGAAACGTTAGTGAAAACTAATTACGAATGACATGTGCGCCAGATATATAATATTGCTGTGTATGCGTTGTGAATACAACTATTGCGGTTGAATATGTGTGATACGAGTTTCCACATCAGACCTACGGATACATAGTTAAATATAAATACATATATGTACATGCAAGATACATATCGATGTATAGATCAAGTATTAGGTATCACATAATACATCCAACGACGCGATGACGGTTGTCGGATGACGCTGGGTCACAAACTGCGTGTTGATGGGTTGAAATGTATCCAACGTAGGATGATATTCATATCGTTGTGGTACACGCAGATCTGACAACTCAAAGTTTCAAACCATCAACAAAGACCCTACCACCAATATCAAAATTTCTGCCAACAAATTAATAGCGCAAATCAATAAATGTTCATCATCTGTCAAATTCGCCCCCATCGTCGGCGAATACAGTCCCGGCTACATCTACGGGAATATTAAGACGCACAAAGTGAACAATCCACTCCGACCCATCATTTCGCAATGCCCTACACCTACATATTTATTGGCGAAGGCTGTTAACAAACTTCTGGAGCCATATGTACCCCGCACCTACTCAGTCAAATCAAGCTTTGAATTTATTGATATCATTAATGATAACAAACGGTGCGTTGGGCATATGGCTTCGTTGGATGTTGAAAGTTTATTTACCAACGTTCCAATCGACTATACCATACAAATCATCTGTAATTACATCTACAATCACCCAACACTTCCACAACTTGACATTCCTCCCACCCTGCTCATCGAACTTCTGAAACTATGTACTGTTGAAACTCCGTTTGTTGCTCCAGACGGTTCTCTCCATTTGCAAATTGATGGTGTTGCAATGGGATCTCCGTTGGGACCGCTGTTCGCAGAATTCTATATGGCCGATCTCGAATCAAGGATATTTGCTGACCCTACCAACAGACCCCCAATATATGCACGCTACGTCGATGACATTTTCATCATTTGCGAAAAGGTCACCGATGTTTACAACTTACAGAATATATTTCAGAACAACTCCCATCTCAAATTCACCATCGAATTTAGCACCGAAAAACAATTGGCCTTTCTCGATTGCTTAATTGAAGAAAAAGAAGAACAGCTAACTTCGAGGGTTTATGTTAAACCGACTAATTCTGGTCAGGTCTTAAATAATCATTCGGACTGCCCCGACCGCTATAAAAACAACGTCATCTATAACTTCATTCATCGGGCATACAAAATCTCTTCCGATATCAATATTTTCAATACAGAACTGATTCGCATAAAGCAGTTTCTCATCAACAACAACTATTCCAACCAATTAATAGATAATACCATAAAACATTATATCAACAAAACAAATAATCCTATAACTCCAACCTCGACAAAAACAATTATACCTCTATATTATCTCAATCAAATGCATGACAACTACAAAGTTGATGAATCAATGCTCAAACGTATCATCAAAT